GGAGGGGGAGGAAAGCCCCTTCCCCCAGAGCTTTTCCGTGCAGGGGCAGTCCTGTGGAAGCCCAGGTTGTTTGGGCAAGGAGGAGTTTCCTCATCCTGGAAATCACCAATTGCTGGGCAACACCAGCTGTAGAACTCCCCTGCAGTTTTGTGAGGTGTGGGAGAGAAGGTGCTGAACAGCAACGAGGCTTGATCCTGGCACCCAGCTCCAAAATACCTCCACGGAGCTGCCAGAGGAGTTTAGTGTGGCACTCCTTGGGTCAGCTAGGGTGGCATTGGGTGGATGCCTTCTGCAGAATGCTGCTAGGCAGGTGTGTGTCCCCGGGTTCTGAACCTGCTGGCAGGAGGAGAGAGCCCTGAAGGGGAGGAGAGGATCCCCCTGGGCTTTAACAGCCCCTTGCAAGGAGGGGAAGGCATGGGGATGAAAGCGTGGCCTTGGAGTGTTTATCCCGTGTGCTGGAGAGCTGCTGGGGCTGGGGGGCAGAGAGCACGGCCTGTCAGAAACGTGGAGAGGCTTGGGAAGAGGAGTCCAGCGGCAGGTTGCCCAAATCTGCCTGTTTTCCTCTCAGAAACAGTCCCCGTCGGTGTGCAGGTGGGGGAGAAGCGGCCGGCGCCCCCCTGCTGGGGACAGCCCCCGGGTTCCTGCCCCCTCCACGGGCACACGGACGCCTCGCCCCGGCCCCTGCAGCCTGGCCGCTTTTTTTTAGCGTTTCTTTAAGTGTTTGCTTAGGAAATCGGTCTCAAACGCAGCCCTCAGCTCCTCAGGGGTTTCCCACCGTGCCCGTTCTCCTGTTAGCAACGTTAACTCTGCGACTGACCGGCGGCGTTTCTGTTTCAGAGCACAAAGTGATCATTGTTGGCCTGGACAATGCAGGGAAAACGACCATTCTTTATCAGTTGTAAGTACCCGCCGCGGGCGACGTTCCACCTCTTCCAAGGTGTGTGTTCCTCGGGCTTGTTGCTGCTTCCCCTGGTGGTTTTCCCTCGGAGAGCGTTCTGCTGGAGGTGGCAGCATGTGTGGAGCCTGGAAGGCTCCGTGGTGCTGCCTGCTGGTTTTGGTCAGAGCTTTTATGGATCAGAGGACGTTGGTGTTGCCCCTGAGCCAGCACTGCCCTCGGTGTTGCCACGTGGGCTGTTTGCCACCTCCAGAAGATGGGGTTGTATTGAGGTTTAGCCACAGGAGAGTAAACTGACCCGTGCTGCAGCATGTCAGCAAGAAGCAGGCTGCTCTGTGAGGAGCAAAGCCTGAGCCCTCCCTTGCCAGGGCTTGTGGCCTGTGTCCCAAAATGTCCCTTCACCTCGTGGGTGGGGTGGGATGGGGGAGGAAGGCTGGATTCTGGCTGAACCCAGGGGTTTTGTCAAGCCACTGGTGTTGACTTGGGTTTGTCTTGTGTTAACCTTGCTGCTGGTTGACATGAAACTTGTGGGATAAGTTTTGATAAGAGGGTGCAAATTTGTCCACGGACTCAGAGGCTTCTAGGTGGGACGTGTGGCTCAAGGTCTGCCTGTAACAGCAACAGGTTTGTGATCTCCCATGGGAAGCAGCCTGGGAAGGGAGGTGTTCTGAAATAATTCCTGTGAAGTGATGTGGCCACGCTGCTGCAGGCCTAGCTCACAACACTCCTCTTGGAATATTTTGGGGTTTGTCACCTTGTGCTCTGCTTTGGCCCTTCCCCAACGTGCAGCTCCTGCAGCTTGGGCCCGAGGGTGCCCTGCAGAGAGCAGGAGAAGCTGAGGGTGGCTGCTGCTGTTTAAATTGGGAGGGAGAGATTTCAAAGAGCTTGACCAGAGCAAAGGCTGTTTTTGGAGGGCAGGAGCTGCTGCAGCTGAGGGCTGTCCCTGGGGCATTTTAGTGCTGCTTCCTCCACAGATGTCTTGTGATTCTTGTTTCTGCTGTCTCCCTGTTTTCCTTTCCCTTTTGTGCAGTGCTTCTCTGCGTGGCTCCTTTTCCTTTGTGCCTGTTCTAGCTCTACAGGACTTCCCCTTCTCTTTTCTCATATTCCCCTCCCCCTGTCTGCTCCCTGGTCCTCTGTGAGCACTGTCCACTCTTCCACCTCCTCAGCTCCTCCTTAACCCCAACCTCCATCCCCACACAGCCCCTTTCTTAGGTTTCTCTGTGGCAGATTCTGGGCACAGCTGAGTTTAACTCTTCCCATGAGACAGGGGCAGAGCTACCTCCCAGAGCAGCTCCTGTTGGTTGGGGTGCTGGGGTGGAAGGTCACCACAGATGTTGGAGTGGTGATTCCTCTAGAAGGTCGTGGCAGCTCCACAGACACTTCCTTTCTTCCTGTTCTGCTCATCTCTTCAACCCCCCCCGTGGGCAGCAGGAGGATTTTGTGCCTAGAAATGCCATTAAGCTTCCTGTTCACCTTGTTTTGGTGGGGAGGAGGGAAAAATCCACCTCCCGTGGGGCAGACTGTGAGATGTTGACAGCGTGGATGTGCAAGGCTGCAGCTCTGCTCCAGCAGAGGGGATTCATCATACATCCCTTCCAAGCATTAGAGGAACTCTGCTAAAATGTGGATTTTCATTATGAAATCACCCACAGGCATCTCAGATCATTGTTATCCTTAATTTGATTTTATGGTGCGTTCTTCCAGTCCTCTTTGCCTTATTTAGTTGCCTTCAAACGTGTGTGGTGAGAAGGTTTCTTGGGTGGCTGGGATTCCTTTGCAGAACACTGGGCCATCTCTTCATCTCCTCCCTTCCCTGTAGCCAGGAAATATCCCTGCACTGTTACAAGTCTCAAATGGCTGTCAGTGTAACTAAAAGCTGTGCTGAAGCTTCAAAAAGTGTTCATCTGAAATGAAAAAAAAAAGAGGTTGAGATGAGAAGAAGAAATAATTAAGTTCTTTGCAAATGGTTCCTTGAAGCTACTGTTAATTTTCTCTGCACATCCCATACAGCAGAGCTGAAATAATTTGAACTTTAGGAGTATCCAGAGCACTGATGTGAAGGAGTCCTCAGGACAGAGCTGCACTCGGCGTCTCTAAAACAACCCACGTTCAATATTTAATGTCTGCATTTAAAGTGGCATCACTGGACTGTGCTGAGGGGAGAAGAGAAAGAAGTTGGGACATAAAGGAACCAATCTGTGAAGAAATGGTGCTCCAATCATGCCCTGGCAGGAGAAGGAGATGTAGTTTGTCTGGCAGAGCTGGGTGACGAGTTGTTTCTCTGCAACCTTGGAAATCTTGTGGCTTAACCACACTCTTGAGGCAGAACAACTTCTCTCTCCTGTGCACGATGGGCCTGGGAAGCAGTGCAGCTGGCTGCTTGAAACAGCCTCTGAGGGAAATGCTCCCTCTGCTTTGGGACTTGGTTTCTTGTAGTTTGGGTCACGGGTGCTCTCTCAGCTTCATCATTTGATTATTCTACACTCCCCCCAGCCCTTTTTTGGTGCTGTTTTGATTCATGGTTATTTTTCTCCACTCTCTACCATCAAACCTCTCTTGGCCTCATAAGGACCATTAGCTAAAATTCCCTCAGAGAGCTATTTTTTTCTCCATGGAATAACCACCCAGCATGGAGGGGGGTGAGTGTGGGGAGCAGAGGGAGCTGTTCTCTCACCACGCTCTCTCTGCCCACCGCAGCTCCATGAACGAGGTGGTGCACACCTCCCCCACCATAGGCAGCAACGTGGAGGAGATCGTGGTGAACAACACCCGTTTCCTGATGTGGGACATCGGGGGGCAGGAGTCCCTGCGCTCCTCCTGGAACACCTACTACACAAACACCGAGGTGAGCACCAGGGGGCCGGGCCTCTGCCAGGCACAGCTCCGCCCCCACACACTCCCAGCCAGTGCTGGGCACGCCTGCCCTGCTGTCTGAAGTCTCCTCCTCGGGGAGGTGTGGCACAAGTCACTTGTCATGGGATCAGTTGGCCTGGAAGAGACTTTTAAGATTGAGTCTGATTGTTCCTCCATCCCTGCCAGGTCCCCACTGCCCCGTGTCCCTCACCCCACATCGCCACGGCGTGGAAACCCCTCCAGGGGTGGGGACTCCACCACTGCCCTGGGCAGCCTGGCACAGGCCTGGGCAACCCTCCAGGGCAAGAAATTGTTCCTCAGCTCCAACCTCAACCTCCCCTGGGGCAGCTTGAGGCTGTTTCCTCTTGTCCTGTCCCTTGTCCCTTGGGAGCAGAGCCCGACCCCCCCCTGGCTCCAGGCTCCTGTCAGGAGCTGTGCAGAGCCAGAAGGTCTCCCCTGAGCCTCCTTTGCTCCAGGCTCAGCACCCCCAGCTCCCTCAGCTGCTCCTCCCCACACTTGGCCTCTAGACCCTTCCCCAGCAGCTCCGTTGCCCTTCTCTGCCCACGCTCCAGCCCCTCAAGGTCCTGCTGGGAGTGAGTGGCCCAAAACTGACCCCAGGATTTGAGGTGCAGCCTCCCCAGTGCTGAGTCCAGAGGCACAAGCCCTGCCCTGCTCCTGCTGGCCACACTGGTGCTGATCCAGGCCAGGATGCTGGTGGCCTTCTTGGCCACCTGGGCACACTCTGGCTCCTCTCCAGCCAGCTGCTGACCAACCCCCCAGGGCCTTTTCCAGCGGGCAGCCTGTGTTTGTGTTCCTGACAAGAGATGTGTGGTGCAGAGCTGCAGTTAGAGGCATCTGCAGCCCGAGGGCTGGACCAGTTTGTGTTGGTATTGCAGGTCCCCTTCTGTGGAGCATGGCTGCCCTAGCTCCACACCAGGTACTCTGAAACCTGGAATAACACTGAAAGCCCAAAAGTTTTCCTCCAAGACTGCAAGCTCTGTCTTGCAGGGTCCCATGATCCATTTACTGAAGCAACCCCAAGAATTTTAAGAACTTTTTAGGGCTGAAGTTGCAGCACGGAACGTGGTTAAAATGATGATTGAAGTGAAGGTTTTCTGGCTGTTATCAAATGCTGTATTTTAAAAAAAAAAGATATTTTTTAGTAACAATTACCTTTGTTCTCCTGTGCTGCCCTATAAGATGCTATGATGTGTATATGCTCTCAAAGAATGGAGCTTTTGGGGGTTTTTTAAATCCCTTGCAAACACCTGTTTATAGGTCAGCATTTGAAGTAGAGGGAGAAACAGAGTTTTACCTTTTTGAGGCTGCAACAAATTATTTGGGGGATCTGTGTGCTGCCTCAAAAGCTTATCTGTGTTAGGCTAAGCAAAGAAAGAATAACAGATCTGGGTTTACAGCACAACACTTGCTTCCAGTATGAATTTTTCACTTGAAAATGGAAAGTCAAAAGATGTGTCCAGGCCACCTCTGTGTACAAACCACAGCATGGTGTGATGGGAACAGGAATCTGCTCTGCTGATGGGGCTGTGGCCAGGAGGGTGGAGTTTGGCCTGACTAACCACTTCTCACTTCTTAAAGTTTGTGATAGTTGTGGTGGACAGCACGGACAGAGAGAGGATTTCTGTGACTAAAGAAGAGCTCTATAAGATGTTAGCACATGAGGTGAGTACAGCCTGTTTCCTTGGGGTTCATGTTTATCATGGGTAAGAGGTGGATGGTAGATGGAGAACATCTTTGTGGATGTTCTCCCTTTGGCCTGGGAGCTGGAGGCAGCCCAGCATGGAATGAGGCCTCATACAGTGTCAGAGCTGCCCTGCTCCTGGAGCTCCCAATGAAGCTGTAATTAACACCAAATTACTGCAGAGAACTCCCACAAAAATAGCTTTCCAGCTTCTCAGGGTGTCAGTGAGGCAGAAGTTAGGACTTATAAATTACTGCAGTGTTTTTATACTGCAATCTACATTAGAAGGACCTCAGCCAGCTATTCAAAACCCCATTGTTTCCTCCAACAACTTAATTACTGGTTTTTGATACAGCCTTAATAATGACTCTTGTCACAACCAGCTTTCAGCCTGAAGAAAGGGGCTGCCTGTGGCTGTAGTAGCTGTCACCCCTTGTGCACGTGGGACTACAGGAGGAGAGTGTAAATTACTTGACTTGTAAAGACCCTCTTGAAAACTGAGGCCTAAAACTGAGCTGTGGGCCTGACTCAGAAGCACTGGGCTGACCTGTAAGCCAGGGAGAACCTGGGGCAGGACCAGCACGTCCCAAAGATGTGAATCTGTCAGGACCAGAGCCCTGATTTTTACCCAAAATGTGTTTATAGCAGCTTGGCTTCTGCTGGGACTCATAGTTTTAATACCAACTGGATCAGGTTGTGTGAGATGACACCGAGGACGCTGAGCTTCCAAATTAACTGTCAGGATACAAAGAAGTGCATAAAATTGATGGCATTATATCCCAAAATGCTACCTCTGTATTTCAACCACTGTGGTAGGGGACTGCAGGAAGGGCAACGACTGCCTTTGAGTTTCCTTCAAGTGTTTGTGGTGCTCTAAAGCATTGGAGAGAAAACAAGGGCTTTGCCTGGTGTCTTGAATATCTAATTTCTGGTATTTAAGTTAAATTTCTGTTTAATGAAATCTAACAAAGCTCTGACTTTCTTTGCTGTGTTCAGTGTGGTGTGAGGGGGCTGTTGCCACTGGGTCTGCTGCTGTCCCAGTGAGAATTTCAGAGCTGCACTCTTCAATCTGTTGTGGCCCCTCCACAACATCCACATCTTCTGCCCCATAACCTGGAGAGGCAGGTGCAGAAGTTGTCCATGGGTGGAACTGGGAATGAGGGAAGCCTGGAACTCCAGGCAGTGTTGTGTGCCCTGACTCTCTGCTGGGAGACTTTCTGTGCCCCAAAATCCCCCCCTGAACTGTCAGTGTGCCTGTTGTTTTACAGCAGGGTCTTTTCAGGGTGTTCAGCTGACTCTCCAAGTGCTGTGGTGCTTGGAGGGAACAATAAAACCTCTAAACTGAAATAAACCCCCAATATTTATTTAGCACAGCTTTTCCTCAAGTCCTTAAATCTTTCCTTCCTGCCAACCAGTTCAGCTCAATTTTTGCTGAGGCAAAACTTGAGTCGCCCAGGTCAGTTCTGACAGTTTTCTGGAGCACTAAATCATCTGGGAATTAATTTTGCTGCTTGTTAAAAATTAGCATGCCTGATAAGCATTCAGGTGGGTGAGTTGTCTTGGCCTCCTACCTTTTAGTTCTACAGGGACAGGTTTCCAGTAATCTGTGTGATTCCAAGGGACAGATTTTCAATAACACATCTAATTGCAAGCAACTTGAGTTGAAATAAGCTCACCCCTGGAGTCACTGCTGTCTCAATTGCTAGCACTGATGTTTGAAATGTTCCATGGGCCTTATAAAGAAGTTTATGGTCACCCTTGTTCCTGCAGATGCCCAGGTTTTAGTTCTAAAGCAGCCTGCTGCTCTTCTCCTGCCTCCTCCTCTGGCTGAAGCACAGCAGCCTGCTGCTCTCCTCCTGCCTCCTCCTCTGGCTGAAGCGCTCCTGCAGGGTGCTCTGGGAAGGCTCCGGGGTCCTCACAGAGCACCACAAAACACCACAGGTGGCTCTGGAGATAGTCCCAGGCAAAAACTGGACGTTTGCAGTGCTGGATGAGAGGATTTTCTGGGTTACATGTCCACCAGGTTCAGGTTTTCTTTTGCCAGGGCTTGAGGTTCTCTTACTTCAGCGTCGCCTCTTCTGCCTCCGAGGGCTGGTTTGTGATCTCTGTCTTTTTTACTTCTCTCTTCCCCCAGGACTTAAAAAAAGCAGGTTTGCTGATCTTTGCTAACAAGCAGGATGTTAAGGAGTGTATGACAGTAGCTGAAATCTCACAGTTTCTGAAGCTGACTTCCATCAAGGATCACCAGTGGCACATTCAGGCGTGCTGCGCTCTGACTGGAGAGGGGTAAGAGTCTGTCTGGCCTGTGGGAGGGGAACTGGGAGTTAGTTTGGTGGTTTTATTGTAGTATTTGGTTTTAACCTTCCTCCCCTGCCAATAATAATCTTGTGCTTAAAGATTTTTGGCCTTGAACACACTGACTTAGGACTAGTGTGATCTGAAAACCAACTTTCACATCAAATCCTCAGTCCTGGTGATAAAACTTTATGTGATTTGGGCCTTTGGAGGGCAGGGGTAGGAACAACCCAAGTCTCTTCTGGGTTGTTAAGAGTAATAATTAGTTAGAGGGAACTTCAGTGTATGTGTTGAAGTGCTGAGGTGTGAAGCCTGTCACCTGTAGATTGCATAGTGAGCTCAGCACTCAGGGTGAATGATCCTGGAGACAATTCCTTCAGCCAGAACCAGCAGTTCTTGGCAAGAATTTAAACTGGTGCCATGGAATTACCTTTGAAGCGTGCGTTCCCAAGAAGTGTTCCTTACAGCCCCTCTTTTCTGTTCACAGACTGTGCCAAGGACTGGAGTGGATGATGTCAAGACTTAAGATCAGATGATTTTTAATGACCTCTTTGCACAGACATTGCCTACGAAGAGCTGCACCCGTGATTTCCTCCACAGTGGCAGAATTAATGGGTTAGAAGTATTTATACTGAACTGATCTCAACTTTATTTTCTACATAGATGCACACACACACACACACACACGTGTATATTGGTTTAGGCCATTCAGCAGCAAGAAATGAGATTGGTGGCTCCAGTTTGGTTTCCTTTCCTCTGAGGGGGTGTGATAGACCTTCTGTTGGAGACGCAGCCGCTGGGGACGGGCCCGTGTCGAGCGTGGTGAAGCTGAAGCAAGAGGAAGGAGCTTTTCATTTTGAGTTTTATGATTCCATGGCAGTCCTCTCTAGCTGAAGAGGTTGGCTTCATTATTCCAGTAAATTTAGTGAGCAAATCAATGGCATAGACACCAACTTCCCAGTATTTTTAAGGTTACCGACGTTACAAATGCAAAACTATTTTCCTGTATGTGTACTGTACATATTTGTGGATATTTATACCTCAATTTTAGGTTCATTGCAATCTGTTCAGACCAGTGTGTGAAGCTGAATCAGTATGTTGACAGTAGTACTAACATTGGACACCACCAACGTGTCCCAGTTCTTCCTTGGTCACCCGTGTGGCTGTAAAGTCCATCAGGCAGTTGGCTCACCACACCTTGATACAGCAAACTCTCTCTTTAAGACCACTGCCTGTTTCTCACCCAGTTTTTCAGTGAGGGAGGAGGTTGGGGCGTGCAGGCTGAGCTGCAAATCACACTGTTGGCCAGCAGGAAACGTTTGCCAAAGAGCTTAAAGCAAAATGGATTTCTCTTTGGCTTTTTTCTTGCAGCCCTCCATGGATGAGGTGATTCCAACAAGTGCATGTCGTGCTGCCCCGTGATACTGCTTTGCTTTCTTTGCAGTGCTGTTCATTGATGAGTCAAGTCTAGTCATAAAGGGAAAAAAACATCCTCTTTTTGTTTTCTTAACCAAAGAAGAGGCACGAAAATAGGTTTAAAAGTCCCACTGGAATCTTAGAAAAGAAGTTGAACTCCGTGTGAGGTGTTTTCAGAGGAGGGCACACTTTGTAGCCTAAAATGTATGTACGTGTATCTATATGCAATGGATGGAGCTGGGATGAGGAACAAACCCCATTACACTACCTGAAAAGCTGCCAGAGCCCCCTTGATTTTGTTCCCACAGCACTTCCAGGGCAGCACTCCTCAAAAATTCATCTCCCTTGGCGCCAGGTGAGTTCCCAAGGAGTGTCAGAACACTACGTGGGGATCTGCTCCCCCTGTGGCACCTGGCTGGGTGGGTGCCCGTGTGGAGGGTGCCCGGAGTGGCCCTTTTTGGGGGTGCAGGCTCTGCAGCAGGGGGGCAGTCGGGCAGCCTGGGACGTGCTCGGTGCCGTGGCAGCGAACGGAGCCTCGCTCACAGGCCCTTGTGTTGGGAGATGCGTGTCAGGGAGCAAAGCAAAGTGGAACAAAACTTTGAAATATCCTTTCCTGTTTTAGCTCGCCAAGGATGGAAAAGGTGTTTTAAAAAACAAAGCTTAATTTGAACTTTTTAAGGTGCTTCTCTTTGGGTGTGGGATAATCGGCCGGCGCACCCGCCTTCCCCTTCGCCTGCCTCACCAGGGGTCGTGCTGGGGATCTGTGGGGAGGAGGAGGAGGAGGGAGGCAATTCCAGAAGTCTGTGTTTAACAAAGGCAGGTAAAGAATTGAACTTTTTAATATCTTTTTTGGCATCTCTCTCTGGTGCTCACGGGCTGAGGAATGTGCTGCCTTTGTTGGACGTTTCGGTGTGTACATGCATAAGCTCCTGGTGCATGCACATAGCTCTTGGTATTTAACCAGTGTCTTGCAACATGTATAAATGTCTGAAGAAATAACAATGTCATGCAAAGACTTTCTCAGTTTATCTGACAGTATCGAGAAGAGAGCTCTGTGCACTCTGGCCTATGGAATGGAATTGTACCTTTTCTAGTCTTCAAAAAGAAAAAGCAGACTTGCTTCTAAACCTCCACGCCTGGCTCTCGAGTCTTGTGTCTTCCCTTTCATCCTCTTAAAAGGTTTCACCTTAGCCTGGGTAAGTCTGAATCCACACAGAGGGTTTGGTTTGGGTTTAGGAGAGTGATTAGGGCTCCTGTTGATGAAAGAAGGGCAGTGTTCTGGTCTCTGCTTCTTGCTGAAATGTTCTTCCCCAGCTGGAAGGGGCTGGTGGCCAGTGATTCCTGCCACGCCGTGTCCCTGCAGCGCTCACTGGGGTGGCAGCCAGAGCCCCTGGCGTTGAGTGCTGGCCCTGCAGGCTCCACAGGGACCTTCTCCTCAGTGCCTGGGTGACTCTGTGTCACCCCATTGCAAACAAAGATGAGGAGTCCAAATTCCCACCTCGTGTGGTCGGTGTGGTTGTGCTTTGGAGTGCTGCAAAGTGCAGTGGCAGCAGAGCTGGGTGACCCGTGCTGGTGCCACGGGGTGAGGTGGACAGCAAGCAGGTCCTGAGAAAGGCAACGGAGCTGCTGGGGAAGGGTCTAGAGGCCAAGTGTGGGGAGGAGCAGCTGAGGGAGCTGGGGGTGCTGAGCCTGGAGCAAAGGAGGCTCAGGGGAGACCTTCTGGCTCTGCACACCTCCTGACAAGAGCCTGGAGCCAGGGGGGGGTCGGGCTCTGCTCCCAAGGGACAGGACAAGAGGCAGTGGGCTTCAGTTGTGCCAGAGGTGGTTTTGGCTGGATATTAGGAAGAGTTTCTCTCCTGGCAGAGTGGCCCAGGCTGCCCAGGGAGGTGCTGGAGTCCCCAGCCCTGGAGGGTTCATGCTGTGTGGACGTGGCACTTGGGGCCATGGTTTAGTGTTGGGTTGACAGTTGGACTTGCTGGTCTCAGAGCTCTTCTCCAACCTCCACGATTCTACGCTGCAGACACAGTGGTGCTGGAAGTTTTTTGAAGGGAAGTTTGTCTGCCTGAAGGTCCTCCAGGAGGATGGGTGTGTTTGCTCAGAATCTCCAGGCAGGTGCCCTCGTGGTGGTGTGGCAGCTGTGATGGTCCTTGGCACACTCACCCTTTGTGTCACCTCAGAAACACTGTTGGGTTTAGTTGCCTGGTGGAGCTGGAGAAGAGCAGCCAAACTTCTGAACTCACACACCCCTTCTGGATGTGCTGCTTGCTCACAGCATTTCCAGTAAATAATGCTTGGAACGTTTCTTGTGGTTCA